ATACTTATTTTACCTACCTACCTAATCATAATTTTATTATTATAACGAGCCCCATTTATCTGGGTAACATTGTGTTCAAGCGAAACTTTACCAGCATTAAAAAAACATTTTTATTTTGATAATGTGTACCCAAAACGCAGAACGTGCCTCTGACAAATAAATTCAGTATTGTAAACTGTTACACTTTAGAACGTACCTATAGCAACGCAATTCGCGTAATTTCCCAGACCATAAAAACTTCTAAGAAAGGTGTAGGGATGACCACGGGTTTTGCCAACCAGTAAAACGCAGCTCAAGGGTTCGAGTAGAAAGTTGACCTTTAATTAATTGGTTTAGTTTATTTTTAAAATTCACGATATCTACCCATTTCCATATTTTTGACTACGCATATATTATCTGCCTACCTACTAATTGCAAAAAACCGCTGCATAAAAACTACATGTGGTGGTATCTATACAATACAAACTTTACCTTTCGAAATAACGTATTAAGCTCAGTCTATAATCACATATCAGATAATAAAAATACTTATTCAATATAACTCTGGCAACAGCCTGCGAAAGCGTTTTAATCCGGCCCTGAGAGTTGCCCGCTGCTAATATGGCGTCGCGATTCGTGAAACGTCATCAAATTCGGCAGAGTCGGCGTTCTGGTTGATTTCTATTTTGTGCTGACGTGATTTCTTTCTTTCAAGAGGTACTCACAAGTAGCATATAGGTATTTGGGTCCTTCAACTACCATCGCGCTGCGCTGTCCCTTGTTACGTCAAGAAACTTAGGGGAAGACCCTCACCTAAAAAGATTTATGAAAGGAATTTTTAGGCTTCGACCTCCGAAACCTAGGGAGAAACCACGTGCACATGGGAGCCGGAAAAAGTTTTAACTTTCTTCTCTAATGCTCAAACATTCATTTTGGCGATTCAGGGGCAAAAATTTATATCCCAGATTTGTTAAAAACTTCCAGGCCTAACACTCCTCAAACCTGTCTGAATCTATTTTTTCTGTTTTCTTCTCAAAACATATTTAAAAGTTTCGAAGACACTCAGGCCGGATAATTGTGACAATTTATTCATTACATACGCAAAACCGCACAAAAAAGCTTCAAAACAAACTTTAGGCCGTTGGATAATAGGAGCTCTGGAGTTGGCATCATAGTCAGTGTTTATGACATAGTCAGTGTTTATGTATATCAGTGTTTAAAGCGCACTCGACGCGACATGCTTCCACATCGGAAGCATTTAGAAAAGGACTTATGATTGATAGTATTAGAAAATCCGTGGGCTGGGGCGAAAAGTCGAAGGTTTTTGCCAAATTCTACAACAGACCTTTGTCAGGAGCAGAAGAAAGCTGCCTTCAAATAGTTTTTAATGCAGAATAATATCTTTTGTTCTTTTTATCTGTTTAGGTTAGGTTAAGTTAGGTTGCAAAAAAACAGGAAAAAGTTTTTTTTCTTTGTTTTTTTTATGTTATGAATATGTACTTTATTAACATAGATGGTATGTACTACATTGTTAAAAATGATATTTAATATTTTCAGACTGGATCTTCATATAATTAAGATCGAACTTCAGGTAAGTTCTTTTGATCGATTAATTATGGTATCATTTTGGATAACCCCGTGGGAACCCACGCCCTGTTGTTCTTTTAACACATCTTTTTGTTTCGTGATATAACCCGCTGTTTTATTAATTAAAATTGTCTTTTTACACTTTAGGATTCAAGCGAGGATTCTTATCGCTAGCCAAGCCAAGGCTTCCTAAAGAACAATAATCAATGGAAGAAACCGGGAAGGAAACGGAGGATCATTTATGTACATTTAAATATTAATATTATTAAGAAAAGAATTGCTGCACTGTTATAAAAAATGTATAGCATTCGTTATAAAAAAAATGGGGGGAAAACACAAGAAATATTCTCTACGTACAAATTTTAAATAAACAACTGCCACTCTCACTAAAGAATTTAATATAGACACCACTACTTCCAAGGTAAGCTATCACTTTTTTCGTGTTTAATGTTATTTTTGTACATAATTAAATAAATACACAATAATAAAAAGATTAATAATTAAATAAATTAATGCAATTAATAACTTATTATAAAGAAAAAAAAAGAATAATTATAATAGCATTGTTTTTACTTTTAACTATTTTAATGATACAATGTGTGAATACTTTAATTTTTTGTGCTTTTTGATTTTATTTTAATGTTATATCTGACTCATCACCTGTAATTTTTCGATCATGTTATATAATATAATTCTGTAGTTAGTGTATATAGTTATAAATGTTTTACTTTTTAAGTTAATTAGTAATTTCAACTTAAAAGTGGTGAAGAAATGTAACTGAATAAATCAGACTTTTAATCAATATCAAAATGAGTGTAACAGAACCATATATATATTTGGATGTCCCAATAATTGACCAAAGGATAATTTTATAAATTGGGGATAATAAATGCTTTTTTGTATTTTAAACTATCAATTAAGGCTATTTACTTGCCTGGATAACAAAAATGTTATGCTTGATTTAGTTATATTTCCCAAGGGTTTCCCTATTTTATTGAAATAAATTTAAAATAGGTCATAGATAGACTAGGACACGGTCAACGACGGGGTCGTTTTCCTTAATAGTAATATAGTGTTATTATTGAGTTGCAGAAAGAATTAAAAAACGACTTGCCAAGAATGCCGTTCGGTTAAGGACATAATGTCCAAGCACGCTCTGCCAAGTTTGGGAACACGGCAGATGAAAGAACACTACCAGCGACTTCTTGAAGAAGTCGTAGAGAACATCAGAGGACTGCAGAGGGACCAATGGAGGGGCAAAGTTGTTGGCATTGTCTCTAGGGGGGATAACATGGCTATCTCTTGATATTCCTTCAGAGTTAGTAGATATACCGGGTTTTAGCTTTCATCGTAGAGACAGAAACGGGCGCGGGGGAGGTGTTGGTCTTTATCTAAGAGCCAATGTGAGCTTATTAATTTTGACAATAACTTAATTATTCAAAATGTAAGTTTTTAAAGTATCTGGCTAAAAATATCTTTGATAATGACACTGATTGGAGGTGTAATATATAGGACTCTTCCAGAAAACATAAACTTTTCTCAGCCCTCCTCACTTTAAAATGGAGGATACTAGAACTGCATGTCGGCTAATTCAACCCAACTATTTTACAGCCACAATTGACCTCAAGGATGCTTATTATTTGATATCAGTAAATAAAAAAACACAGAAAATACTTAAGATTTTCTTTTAATACGTCAATATATGAGTTTACTTGTTTACCGTTTGGCTTGGCAGCTCCTTACACACAGCTCCTTATACTTTTACTAAGCTGTTAAAGCCACTTATCGTATACTTCCGTTCCAAGGGAGTATTATGAGTTAACTATTTGGATGACTTTTTGATCTTAGGCTCAAATTTCAAGGGATGTTGTACATATGTTAATCTTGTTGTTAACGTATTAAGTTCTCTGGGATTTATAATAAATGAGGAGAAAATATCATAAATTTCTGGGTTTTCTGTTTAATTCGAGTAGAATGACAATTGAATTGCCAGAGGAGAAACGGAAAAAACTTTTAAAATCTATAAAATCATTTCTATCCCGAAAAAGTTTGTAAAATTATCCACTTTGCACAACTCCTAGGCTTCTTAAATTCGGAGGATATTAGCGAAGACATTTTTGTTGGGGTGGCAAATGCTTTGAATATCGTAATTTCGGTCGAAGAAAACAGCTTGTATTATGCTGCAATTCCACCATTAAGAGACCGTGTAAAAGATGAAAGCGGGGATGAAAGTCTAGAAAATGAAGAAGATACACAGATAGACGACAACATGATCGACACCAGTGATAATTCAGCCCGAGGTTCAGCCAATATTTCACCTAATCAGCTTCAACATTTTACTTCTCTGCCGATGGGAAATGAAGAAATTAACAGTGATGACTTGAACGATCCAAATAGTAATTGTTTAAGGATTTATGCAATATATCCAGTGTCGGAGCTATGGATAACTTAATTTTGAGAAATTGTGATCAGAGATTAATGGATGAAACAATTGAAAATGGTCCATATGTCCGAGTTATTTTTGATAATAAATCGAAAATTGTCAGAAAGTCTTCGCTCTGTTGGTTGCTAGAGGAAACTAAAAATAGGGTTAGTACAAACAGACTAACACGTTTTATTGTAAAAAGTACAGAAATACCTCAAGAGACTAAGACACTAGAAGTAGGTCAGAAAAAGTTAAATTTATTAAAATCCAAAGGAACATACATGAAGAGAAGCTCGAAGAGAGGTAAGAGAGACAGCCATCGATATATCTCAGATAGTTCAGAAGATGATACTATCATAAAATATGACGATAGCTCAAGTAAAGAAACGTTCTCTGCAAATGACTCGGAAAATGATATTGAAATGGAAATTAACGTTAATGAAGGCGAATATCGAGGGGCAAATTTACAAAAAGAATACTCCCACAACATTCCAGTTCATCGGCGTTGACAATTTTCTTAGAGATTAACTCTTTGAGGGGCACCGGTATAAAAATTGTACCCGGAAAATTTATGTATTAGTGGGGCACCGGTCTAAAAAAATGTACCACCCCTTCAAACATTTTTAGCTAGTTGTGCAATGGAGCATTTTCTCGACCAACGTAATATTGGTCGCACTCTGACGGCTGTTTGTTGATTTAAACTGTTGCACGTGGCAGTTTCGGTTCTGCGATCAGTTTTATTGATAAAATCATAGCGTTAAGGTGGTTGCAAGTGAAAGTCTGCTGAATATACAGAAAAGTAAGTGAAATATAATAAAATATAGGTGCCTTTCCTGTAATAATAATATATTTGATCATTTATAACAATAATATTATTTTGGTACAAGAAAAAAAATTTTTTTGTTTGTTTTATTTTGGTAGTTTGTTGTGATACTATAAGTGTACCGTTGCACGCTTATGCAAATATTCTATCCTGATTATGCCACATTATTTTTTAGATATTCAAGATATGGATTCGTTACCATTTAAGCTAAAAGGTTGGAGTTATGATGACCTGCAAGATGAATTGAATAATATATATAACGACGCGGAGCCAATACCTTTCGAGCCGGAGTCTGTATTTAGTGAGTCGGAAGATGAAGATGACCAAATACTGTTGGACCAAACTACACCTGCTTTGAATTTTACTGATTCTGATACTGATCCAGAAGATAACGTGCCATTATCTATTTTAGCAACTAATCTGCTTCCTGTACCACCCGTAAACTCTAACGACTGGTCTAAGCTTGTTGAACCAGTACCCCCCTCAAACTTTACGTCAGAGTCCGGAATTAAACCTGTTGTGAGAGAAATGGTTGATCCTACTCCGTACAAACTTTTCAAGTTATTTTTTAATGATGGTCTGCTTGACCACATAGTATTCCAGACAAATTTGTACGCACAGCAGTCTTTCAGCAAACAAAAACTTACCGAAATCTCAGAAATAAAAACCTTTCTAGGCATAAATTTATTAATGGGAATTAAACGATTACCGAGCTATAGGGACTACTGGAGTACTTCTCCTGATATAAATGATGCTTACATAAGTGGATTGATGCCTGTGAAGCGCTTTAGTTGGCTCCTTTCGAACTTCCATCTCAATAATAACGTGCTAATGCCTAAAAAGGGAGAAGCCCACTACGATAAATTGTACAAAGTGCGACCATTATTGATTGCGTTAGCTGAGAATTTTGAAAGGTGTATGGCTCCAAGTAGGGAACTTGTAATAGACGAGTCAATGATAAAATTCAAAGGGAGAAGCTCGCTCAAACAGTACATGCCCAAAAAACCTATTAAACGAGGATACAAGGTATGGATTTTAGCGAATAAAAATGGCTACTGTCAAAAATTTGATATATATATCGGTAAAGCGGAGGACGCCGAAAAACAATTAGGTGCCAGAGTTATTAAACAAATGCTCAATGGATTGGAAAATAAAGAGCACATTGTCTATTTCGACAACTTCTTCAATAGTACCGAACTTCTGGAAGACCTGAAGAAAAAACTAATTCATGCCTGTGGTACCGTAAATCCATCGAGAAAAACTTTGCCGGTGTTTAAACCGGATCGAAAATTGAAGAGGGGGGAATTTGAAGTTTTTAGCAATCCATCAAGAATTGTAGCTTTTAAATGGAGAGATAAGCGTAGTGTCTATTTACTGTCAAATTTTCATTCTCCTTTTGGAACCACTGAGGTCAATAGGAAAGAAAAGAATGGTACTACAACCAAAGTTCGTTGTCCGCAAGCGCTGTCAGATTATAACGCCAACATGAATTTTGTTGATAAATTTGATCAAAATCTGAATTTGTACAAAATAAACAGGAAATCAAAAAAATGGTGGCACAGGATATTCTTCTACTTTCTCGATGCAGCAGTAGTAAACGCTTTCGTTTTATATAAAGAACTTCATTCGCCAAAAATATCCATGAAAGAGTTTAGAAGAAGCGTATCACAAGGACTAGTTGCAGACCTGGTTATAAAAAACAAAAGGAAAGCTTATAGCTGTGGAGAAACAGTTGCTAAAAAACAGTTTAAGCCATTCATTCCCCTAGAAATTAGGCACAACCAAAGTTCCCATCAACCGGAAAGAGATTCTCGGCGGCGATGTGCAAAATGCAGTACATCAAAACAGCAAGTTCGTACCAACTGGATATGTTCGGTTTGTCGAGTTCCTCTCTGTCTGGGGGCAAACAAGACATGCTTCCAGGACTTCCACACTTTCGAGTAAAATTATACTGGGGCAATGGTACTGTATATGTACCACGTAATGACGTCATTATTTATATATAAAAAATTGTTTTTCATAGTTTTAGAGTTTATTTTGAATATTTGTTCTTAGTTCTGTTAAATATTTTTATTAAAAAGTAATGAAAAAAATCATGCCCCTCTAGCACTTTTATTTACTGACAAATGTTGCCCTTCAAAGAGTTAATAAGTTTTATGCAGTGTATTATGACGAAGGCTGGTTCGTTGGAAAACTTCTAAGACATATTGATGCTATTGCCGATAATGCGATAGTCGAAATTACATTTTTAAGACAAAAGAAACGAAAAAAAGTGAATTTAAATGGCCTGGAAAACAAGACTTATCCAACGTAGAAACAGAATATACCGGGTGCGTCTCAAAAGTATCTTTAAACGACATTATGGATAAATTATTGCACATTGAATCCCAATATAACAATCTTCTTTCTAAATACGAAGATCAAATTAAGGTCAACAATGAACTGAGGTCAGAGATTAAGGTAAAATCGCAAATTTCTTCAATCGTTCATCAAGCAGAATATGAAGCCGAATCTACGAAAAATCAACAACAATGCATTCCACAACGTCCAACACAATATCAATATTCTCAAAACTTTCAAAATTTTCATAATACTTAAAATTCAAATAACTTTTCACAAAACACGCAGATAACAGACGCCGAGAGCGATTGTAATGTCGTATCAAACATTGAACAATCTTTTATGACGCATTTGTAGATGCTTAAAAATAAATATATCTTTTGTTTCGAATTGTTTTTATTTTTATTTATTATTTTTATTTAAAACGAGACTTTTGTTAAAATTGGAAATACTTCGGGCTTTTGATTTTGTAAATTTATAGGTAAATGTAATGTATGATTTTCTTACCTCAAACAAACAGCAAGCCTTTCTTCGCTGGTCACAGCCCGTTGAAATTTCGTATTTTGACGAGTAATGGAATTCTTCACTAAGTTTAAAAGTTCATAAAACTTTTCTTTAGACATCCTGAAGTATTTAAAAAACTTTTTGGGTCATGCTTTAAATCATCAAATAAATGGTGAAATTCCCCAAGCCCATCCATCAAAACTCCAAAAAAGAATGAGGAATATGAATTGCACATGCGCAGAAAAACAGCGGCAAACAATGAGAAGTCCCAGGATACACAAAAAGCAAAGGAGAATTCTGAATATGTCTCAGCAAATTTTGATCTTCAAGCAGTTTTATATAGCCCATTATTCCATGCGAAATCCATTTTCTATAAACGAAAATTGGGGACGTTTAATCTTACTGTTTATGACGTTGCAAGCAAACAGGGTTACTACTGTATTTGGCCTGAGTTTGAAGGTAAAAGAGAGGCAAGTGAAATTTCTACGTGCGTGAGATTGTTTCTTGAAGAGCTACCTGTGAGAACGAAGCATGTAGTTTTAAACTCAGATTGTTGCCCAGGCCAAAACAGGAATGCGATCATGGCATACATGCTCTACAAAGCAGTTCAATCCCTAAGGAATATTGAAATTATAGACATGAAATTTCTCGAGCCGGGACACACGCACATGCAATGCGATTCCATGCATGCTACAATCGAACATGCATCGGAATATGCCAAAATCTATTGGCCTAATGATTGGGTGAACATCATTAAGTTGGCAGCTAAAAAGAAGCCCTATAAAGTGAAGACACTTGCTCAGACTTCATTCAAGGATTACAAATAATTCAGAAAATAAAAACACAGAACTCAGAACTCTACAGAAAATACTTTAAATTGGAAGCAAGTAAAGTGGATTCGAGTAGAAAGATCCAAACCCAATACGATATTGTATAAAAAAGATTTTTCCAGTGTTTCAACAACTTCTAGAGGTCGCAAAACAAAAAACACTACCATGATTGTTCCAACAATCTTATAGCCTGAAAAAATTCCTATAACCAATTATGACAATTTATTGTCTATGTGTCAGGGCAAAGATTCTATAATCCCCTCGGAGTACAAGAATTTCTACTTTTCTCTACCAGTAATAAATGTACACCATGCTCGACCCCATGGTAGTGAAGAATATGACGACGAGATGTCTCTACAGCAAGTAATAGAACAAATTGTAAAGAGGAAAAGACGAAGAAATTAATTAAAGAAATAAAAATATTTGTTAGTTTTTGAATAAAGCATTAAACTTTTGGTATATACGCCTTTTTATTTGAACCAGAATAACTCAAATTGTCTCGTATATCCTAATATCAGAAGGGCGTAACGTTCACTATCGAGCAATTGCCTATCAAATTGTAATGTTTTTATCCTACCGCAGTGAAAAAGTCAACAATTTTCGTTAAAATTTTGATTTTTAAACGTTTTTTACGTCTCCTGTAAAGTTTACTTTTTGGTTCATGGCGCCCTTCTGATATGACGCCCAATTTATTATGAATCCCAATTAACAAAGTTAAAATCATAAGTTTGTGATTTTGGATGTTTTATTTTTTTAGCTACTGATTGTAAAAATAACTGGAAGAGTCTCCGCGATAGTTTTCAAAAAAGTATAAAAAATCGCGAGACGGGGGGGGAAGTCCGGGCAAGCTACAAGCAACAAAAAGGCGTGGCGATTTGAAAAGCAAATGGAGTTCTTGCGAAAACATGTTCAAGAACAAAGAGCTGGAAAAACGAATGTTACTACACCCACGCCCGAGAATGACGACACGGAGTACGAAGAAAGAAATGTTGCCAGTCCAGGTGGTTCCACAATCGAAGAGGATTTGTTTAAGGCTCATTCGTCCACGAGCACAAATACATCTTCAGGGCCACCATCGTCAAAAAAGGGAAGAAAGTCAGCTGATTCTGCAACGGGTTCAGCAGCTATGATACGAGAATACTTGCAATATAAAAAAGAAAGAGATTCTAAAAAATCGGCCGACCATTTGACCAAATATTTGTGCGAATTTTTCCACCATATCTCCAAATTAAGGTAAAATCGCAAATTTCTTCAATCGTTCATCAAGCAGAGTCAACGAAAAATCAACAACAATGCATTCTACAACGTCCATCACAATATCAATATTCTCAAAACTTTCAAAATTTTCATAATACTCAAAATCCAAATAACTTTTCACAAAATAAGCAGACAACAGACGCCGAGAGCGATTGTAATGTTGTATCAAACATTGAACAATCTTTTATGACGCATTTGTAGATGCTTAAAAATAAATATATCTTTTGTTTCGAATTGCTTTTATTTTTATTTATTATTTTTATTTAAAACGAGACTTTTGTTAAAATTGGAAATACTGAGGGCTTTTGATTTTGTAAATGTATAGGTAAATTTAATGTATGATTTTCTTACCTCAAACAAACAGCAAGCCTTTCTTCGCTGGTCATAGCCCGTCGATATTTCGTATTTTGACGAGTAATGGAAGTCTTCAGACATCCTGAAGTATTTAAAAAACTTTTCCTTTTGGGTCACGCTTTAAATCATCAAATAAATGGGGAAATTCCCCAAGCCGATCTCTCTTTCTATTAATTTCGTGTACCCAACAATACTTTTTTGATTTTTTCTCTTGCTCTTCTGCATGTAACAATGCAGAGAAAATGAAAACATCTTCGTCGGAGGAACTACTACCTGACATTTTGCCGTTTCGATACCTACTGAAAAGTCTTGCTGCGCTGCCTAAGTGAGCGGGCAAACTCAAAACGACGCGCCGCAAAGCGCCCTAAGCCGCCTAAGTAAGCGAGAAGCTTAAGTGAGGAAATTCCTAGTTGTTATCAGAGTATATTTAAAAGTCAAAATAGAATTGAATGAGAAAAGGCAATTACAGAAGAGTTAAATTATTTAAATGAAAATAATAATACCCTAACTGTAACTTAATAAATGATACCCAAACTGTGACTTACATGAATTATATCATCATACATCATATATCATCATATTATATCATTATACATACTCTCTCTGTAGTTGATGATATTAATTATATAAAAAGTAAAAAATCAACAACAATATTTGTGGAATGCTCTGCTGGTTTCTTTCATAAAATAATTAATTTTAAAAGTATTGCAATTGGACGGGAGGACTTTCCAGTACACAAAGACCTGATAATTCAAAGATGTTATAAGTGTCAAGGATTTTACCATAAGGAGTCTGTTTGTAGTAATAGAAGATCATGTGCCAATTGTACTGAAGATCAGATACACGGGTCTGCAATAGCGAATTAAAAATATGTCAAAATTATTTTCTTGTGAGTTCTAAATACCATTAAGAACTACGATGTATGTCACTCATCTACTGATGATAACTGTCCTACTTATAAGTATCATCTTAACATCTTAAAACGTAGAATTAACATAAAACTATGGTGTATAAAGCCAAAGGAGATAATTCACACATTAATAACACTCAGATAGAGAATCACTTCTACATATTGCTCATCTGATTTTACGATGAACTTTTACTGGTTTTGTCAAATTTAAAAATTTAGTGCTAAATAATTATTGATATTGTGGGAGTTACTAAAACATTGTTGCAAAATGGCTCATCGGCAGATTCTGTAGTTCTTCCCGGTTACGACTTTTACAGAGAATGTAAATAGTTATATACTCTGTCAAACTACAATTTATATACTACAGATTTTTAATCATATTTACATTTGCTACTGGTTCATAATAATCAATAGTTCATGCTTATTTTTCGGCAGTGGCGCCACATAAACAAAGACAAGACTATAAAATACTAGAACTAATCTTTGAAAAAAACCGATACCCTGATAATAATATGCTGCACGAAGAAATAGCTTCAAAAATAGATAAAGTATAATGTTTCTTAAATTTTAAAATTTTTGCGAATTGTGTTATTAGACTATAGAAAAAAATAATGGAAAAAAGTAAGATTTGTATTATATTTTGGGATTTTATAGAAGCATATTTTTTAATTTGTTATACTAGAATGGACTCTAAATAAAATAAACATATACCGTTTTATAATATTTTTATAAAAAATGTACCGTTTCTG